CCAGGACAAAGGGTACACCGGCAAATGCTACCGATCGCATCGAAGGTGGCAAAATGCAAGCGCACAAGAGGCTGGATGGACCAATGTGTATGGTAGTCGACAAGGGGTGGCAAGCCCGGGTAGTTGACGTATAACCAGGGGTCTAACCGCCAGAACTGGGAAATCCAGGACCCGAATAAAGAGAAGAAGGATACACTTCAGGTTCTTGAACAACATCTCGAATGTTTTACAGTCAGACATCGCTTTTCCGGTCCTCTTTTATCTGGATCCCTCGCTGACCGGAAGAAAATCGTTGGTTACCGATTTACAGCATATGCCATGCATACATGCAGTAAGTTATGTGTGTTCGATTATCCGGTTCCCTCGCCTATCCGGGTATTTTTTGTGGAAAACGGATGTGTGCGGTTATGCGAGGGCTAGCTGTACTAGCATACTGTCAAGCCTTATCCAATAACTTAACCCTTTTACGGTCTCACATTTGAAAATCGATCACCAGTGATCGATTTTTCAAACTATCGTAACTCAGTCAATTTTTGAGCAAATTCGAACATCTAAATATCTGGGTTGAAGAGAAAGCTCCAGGCTATCCGTAGGAACAATCGCCGAAGCGATAGAGTGAACGGCTGCGATGCTACGAAGCTCGCGATCTGCGTCACGGCTCATTTACGATTTGAGTGGGCGAGCTGGGTCTTGAGGACGGGTTTTTCCCTTTGCAGCTAGCTGTCGCCATAGAGACACGGATTCAAATGAGAGTATGGACTCTCAGCACTCCTCACAAAAAATATGAGCTCGGTGTGAGCAAGGAGAGGGAAATGGCTGTTGAATCTTGTTTCTCGTCGTGAATCAAGCACTGGGGCGATGTCGCTGCGCTGCAGCGCTGGATCCACGGCACCCTTGGTGTCGAATTGTAGCTCGGCGTGTTGCTCTTGTCCAGAGCTTTCCAGAGAGCCCAAGATCACGAAAATCAGCGAAGGGAAACTGAAGTTATGGATGAATCAAGGTACGAAATTGTTGAATTCTGTAAATAGCCTCATTTTGACTGGATTCTGAGACCGTGAAAGGGTTAGAGAAATGAGTATAGTAGTGAAACTTTCAAGGTGTTTTTCAACAGCCTTAAAAGTGTGTCCTTCTTCTCAGTGTTATTGCGTTCTTGTCTCCGAGGAAACTGACCAAGTACATACAGAGGTTGACTGATATCAAGAGTACATGAAAACCAGAGTGTGCAGCTCTGATGGGTTGCTGTCACGGCGGAATTCCGTGATTACATCATCTAGTGATGTAGTGCGTACAAGCAGGATTCAAGCAGTTCTCTTTCTGCACAACTGCAGCTCAGTTGTACGCACTACGCCATTTCCCGCCTCAGATCTCCGCCAAAAAGGATGTAATCACGGAATTCCGCTGTGACAGACGCCCGAAGTAGGATATGCCCCAAGCTGCACGCTCTGGGTTTCATGTAGTCTTCCTAACATCCAGTAAATTATGGTATGTTTTTTCCGTCTGGTTGTGTACTAACGCAGGTGTTAAGAGACCACCAAGCTAAGGAGATCAAGGATTTGGAGGCTGAAGTGGAAGCTGTCAAGCTGGGAAACAAGGAGCAGCAGCATGACATGAAGCATGCGTACTTGCAGAAGAGGAAAGTCTTCGAGGACGAGGCCGAAGAGAAAATCACGAAAATGAAGCAGGAGGCGAAGCAGGTATAAAATTTAATGCTGCTCAGTGTGTGTGTGCTGCTGATGTTGTTGACAGAGCTTTATCTGCTGATAGTTGGGGGGGGGGGGGGGGGGGGGTGGTGGTGATGTTGTTGTTGTTGTTGTTGTCGAACTTACATTTGCTGATGGTAGGGTGGCATGGTTGCCAGGGTTGCACTAGCAGATGGTGGTGGTGCTTTTTTCGGGGCAACGTCTGCTGAGGATGGCTACTGGTGCCAAGGTTACGTCTGCTGGCGGTGGTAGTAGTTCTGCTGCTGTCGGAACTATGTTGGCTGGTGGTGGTGTGTGTGGGGGGGGGGGGGGAGGCGGCGGCGGAGGTGCTGTGCCAGGGTTCTGTCTGCTGATGGTGGTAGTGATGCTGTTGTCGGGGCTACTGTATAGCAGGAAATATTCGGACGGAATATATTTTCGTACGATTTCGTCCACGGCCTTTTTGCACTAAAATGTATTCCGTACTAAAATGTGTTCATGTGACGTGATGTGCACTGTACATGGGTACTGCATGCGAACACGTGCATTTAGTATGCAGCACTGTACGAAAATAAAATCCGTACGAAAGGTCGAAATTCGGCTTTGTCCGAAAATATTTCCGTCCGAAAATTTCCTGCTATACAGTATGTTGCCTGGTGATGGTGTTGTGTGTGTGTGTGTGGGGGGGGGGGGGGCGGGGGGGGGGAGACGGCGGAGGTGCTGTTGCCAGGGTTCTGTCTGCTGATGGTGGTAGTGATGCTGTTGTCGGGGCTATGTTGGCTGGTGGTGGTGTTGTGTGTGTGTGGGGGGGGGGGGGGGGGGGGAGACGGCGGAGGTGCTGTTGCCAGGCTTCTGTCTGCTGATGGTGGTAGTGATGCTGTTGTCGGGACTATGTTGGCTGGTGGTGGTGTTGTGTGTGTGGGGGGGGGGGGGGGTGGGGGGGGGGGACGGATGAGATGCTGTTGCCCGGGAAGGTTCTGTCAGCTGATGGCCAATATAGTACTGCTGTTCTTGGGGCAACGTCTGCTGATGGTGGTGCTGCTGTTGCCGGGGTTACTTTGGCTGGCAGTGGTATTGGGGGGGGGGGGGGGGGGGGGGTGCGCGTGCTGCTGATGGTGGGGACCTTTGCATGGGTAACTGCCGAGAACTCTGCGAGAAAGTGTCTTTCGTTTGTAATGTATGTGTTGATGATCTTACAGGATGCTCAGAGACGAGTGCAGGAGCACATAGTGCGGGTGAAACGTGAGAACGAGGCCCTACGTGCCAAGATCAACGACCTCTCCGACGACTGCAAGGTACTGATAATACAACCCCCCCCCCCCTCTAATGTCACACTGTGACGGGCCTGTAGTCTGTAGTGATGGCGGCTCAGTGCCTTCTATGAAGCCGGAATCGAGTGGCCGTGTGTAAAGTTCACTTGTACTCATTCATTGCCAGCAATCGCATGGCATCATGTACATTGAAAATAAACATATTTTGTGAATCGATCTTTTGTCAGCATCACTTTTCAACGAGGACAGTGAAGCTAGCTGAGTGTAGCTAGTGTAGCTAGCTGAGTGTAGCTGTGTAGCTAGCTGAGTGTAGCTAGCTGAGTGTAGCTAGCTGAGTGTAGCTAGCTGAGTGTAGCTAGCTGAGTGTAGCTATCGGAGTGTAGCTAGCTGAGTGTAGCTAGCCGAGTGTAGCTAGCTGAGTGTAGCTAGCTGAGTGTAGCTAGCTGAGTGTAGCTAGCTGAGTGTAGCTAGCTGAGTGTAGCTAGTCGAGTGTAGCTGTGTAGCTAGCTGAGTGTAGCTAGCCGAGTGTAGCTGATGTATGCCTGTGTCCAGTGACAGGAATAATCACACTACTCAAGCTGCGTCAAGGGCTGGCGGGTGCCGGTGGTGGATGGCGATTCACGGGAGTCGTGGGCTTAGATGATTATTAGCTGCATCAAGAATATTTCGACCAAGCCCCCCCCCCCCTTTAAACGTGAACCCAGCTACTGTAGCAGCAGAAACTTTAGTCAGTAAATAATTTCGTCCAACTCCTGGGACGAAAAAGTCAAATAAATTCCGGACGAATATTTCTCCGTACACGGTTGTCTCTGCTCTGCTCTCTATCTCTCTCTCAGTCTCTCTCCGCCTCTCACTCTCACTGTCACTGTCTGTCTTTCTCCCCCCCCCCCCCCCCACACACAAACACATTCGTTTCCCAATGCATCATTTCATCTGCAGGGCTTTGAGAAGTCGCGCGTCAAGTTTCTCCAGGATATTGGCGAGCTGGAAGCGGAGAAGCGCTCTCAAGAACGAATCAATCAGTTTCGCTACGGAACACCCAAGAGTTCAGCCAAGCCGCAGAACGCAGCATCGAGCGTTCAGGAGCGGTTATCGTTCACACAGTTTGTTCCCGACCGTCGCACATTCCCGTCGGATGGCATTCCCCGTGCGCCTATTCTCTCAGCCTTGCCCAGCAGTACCCGCCACAGCCGGCGCTCATCGGGAGCTGCTCGCAAGAGGAACTACTGATGATGGTATGGTCATACAGTCACGTGTTATTGCTGGTATTGCGTGATCGTTGATCATGTGATGTGCGTGATGTCGTCGCTACATGCTCACTGAGTGGTCACATGACATGATGTCATCAGTCTGTAGTCACGTGATCACATGACATGATGTCATCATCAGTGTATGGTTTCTGTGATCAGACGGGATGATGTCATCAGTATTATTATACTCACCGTGGTCACGTGAAATGTCAACAGTTGTAGTCAGGTGATAACTTGAGGAACTGTCACTGCCGCTGTGACTCACATGGATTCTTCATTGACCCAGCCTGATCACATGATCATACTACATGTATAGACACGACATCAGATCATATGATCAGAATATTAGCATGACATCATAATTTGATCACATGATCAGACTATACTCGTTACACCATAACTGGGTTTATAGTTTATACGCATGACGTCATAATCAGATCACATGATCATGTGGATATGTGGATATTCAGAACATCTCAAGAGCATGTGTACTGTCAAAGATATTTTGCAAAGAGAGCGCATGCTTACAGCTGTGCACACATACGTTGACTGCCGGCGTGTTGTTCACTTTCTGATGGGGCTGCATCGGTTCTGAACGTCATTCATTGCCGCCACCTCTGTCTCAGTTCACAGCGCTGACCATCGTTCCACCTAATCATGCGTACGTTATAGTGAATACTTCCGCTGTAGGATACCAGTACTACTACTCTTCAACAATCCCCCCCCCCCCCCCTCCCAACACACACACACACGCACACACACAGTTTTGCAATGGACTGAACAATACTCAACAGCGTCACCTGTTCATCACCTATCATATTCTTTACTATACCTGGAACTACTGTATGTGCAACTGTATGTGCAATGTGCATCGAATTTTTACTTTATCACTATTCTACTAATTAATGAAACTTGTATCCTGTAGTGAAATACTGCGTACCAACGCGCGTACCGAACGCTCGTCGTTCTATTCCCTCATCGTTGTGTACTTTCAGGAAGCGTCCTATTGCATGGCAGTGACATCATCAATTCCTGTTTTGTGTTTTGTGTTTTCATTGTACAGTAGTAGTATACTAAGTGTAGTCATCTTAAAATTCCCAGGAAAGTCTACGTATTTGTCCTTGCTGATTCTCTATGTTTGATCTCCATATGGAAAATAGAGATGTGTGAATACATGTAATGGTTTTGGTGCTGGGGCTTGATGATTGCGAGAGCATGAAACTTTAAGTAGCAGCAAACATGCTTTGAGTGTCCTTGTTGCTCTGTGTATTACACTCTGCCTGCGCGGTGGTGTTGAGCGCTGTTAGCACAATGGGTACATCCCTCAGGTGCTGGTTTTGTGTAGCTGCAAATTACAAGTAGATTCTGTCCGCCAGTGTCGGTAACCAGGCGCGTGCCCCGTATGGGTTCCTGGGTGCCCGGAACCCCCCCTTTTTTGCTCAAAATGCAGGATTTTGCTTCATTTTTGAAAAAATTCCCGGGGAGGCCCCCCGGAACACCCCCTTGAAGGGCACCGGCGCACGCACCTGGGTAACTGACCTTCTTTCATCACGCATGACTGTCTGCAGCACGGTCAACTGTGGAGAACACTTCTCTCGATTGTGTCCCGCAATTAACATAATATGACTGCATGTATTCTCTCTGGACAGGTTCGTAACCAGAGGGGGGGGGGGGGGGGGGTGCTTGTGCACCCCCCCCCCCCCCTTATGGCAATGGCTGCACCATTGCCATAATTATGAAACAAGCATTCAACTTTACAATGCAAACAAAATTAATTTAATAATGACTGCCTTCGAGAAGCAGCCAAACCAACCGCTGAGGGTCAGCCAGGTGGTTTGGAGGAAGCCAAACTCAGCTTACAGCAATGAAGCATATCAGCTGCATCTGTCCCGGCATGTGACCTGGCATCTGTCCCGGCATGTGACGTGGCATGTGACCTGGCAATTCACACTGTCAGAAATCAATGTCAAAGCACTTTTAAAGTTTTAATGAAGTGCTCGACATGCCAGAGGAGCTGGGTGCACTCCAGTCATAACTCAAGTAACTTATTACGTAATAAATCAGTGTAAATTGAAGGTACTAAAGTTAAGTGCATTGGTCTCGGGATACACGATTATTCTTACAGGGTGACACAAGCCACAACGAATGAAATGTTCGACCCTCTTTGAAGTGGTACATTGTACTGTTGAGGCAACGAACTAAAAAAAGAACATAAACAAAACGGGCAAACGAAAATGATTTGAAATATCCCGAGGTTCTCGGTTTCCGTATGAGACACCATGGCATGGCAACGGTGTTAAGTACAGTGGTAGCAAGTCACAGCAGATGTGTTAGGTAGTGCTACGATGAGGGACATTGGTCTCAGGTTATATGTCTATTCACACACGGTGGCACAAGCCACAACCGAACGAAACGACTTGAAGCTTTTCGTTTCCGTATACTTGAAACCATGACGACCAGGCGCGTAGTCCGCATGGGGCAGGGGGGGGGGGGGCACATGCACCGCCTCCCCGACCCCAAAAATGTCGACCTAGGTTCAGCAGGCACATGATGATGACCATGGATGACACACGCTAGCCTTCCTACACAAATGCGACCGTGCAACCCCCAACCCCCCACCCCCACCCCTGAGAGGGGGACCAGCTAAGCCCCTGATCGACGATGTTCATCTTACTGGCTGCAAGTCACAGCAGATGTTGTTCACCTCCTCGACGTCCTGGCTGGCGTTGAAATCGTAGTGCGCGATGGCGATCTTCTTCTCCTTGTGCAGCGGCCCGAGTGTAAAGTGCACTAGGTACACTTCCACGGTCAGTGTGTTGGAGCGTACCTCTTCGACGCTGGCGAACGGCATGCGCAGCACATCGTGGAAGAAGAACGGGTTGCTCGAGCCGTTGACGGGTGCGGTGCGTTCCTTCTGCAGCGGGCGGTGCGTGCTGCTCAGCTTGGCCATGAAGGTGTTGGAGCGCGACGGTGCACGGCTCAGCTCGAAGCACTCCACGTTAAGTATGGTCATGGTCTGATTGTACTCGGTGAAGTAAAAGGTTAGCTTGACGGAGGCGTGCGACTTCGACGGCGCCGCAAACATGATCTCGGTGCCCAGCTCCGGGCTGCTGGGTGCCGCTGCGGGCAGCGGACGACGATTCACGGGAGTCGTGGGCTTTGACGATGACGTCGGGGTCGATCGCCGGTACAGATCACGAGTGGACGTCGTCACGCTGACACCGTCCATGCCCGTGCTGCTTAGCATGTCCGGAAGGGAATCGAGCGATGTCATGCTCTGCGAATCCACGGTCGACTGTCGGCGCAGGCACCTGGCGCGATCAATCTTCTTCACGTCCGCCAGTAGCTCCTCCTCGGTGTAGCAGCTCTGGCTGCGCTCAAGCGTTCGCAGTAACGGCGGCTGCCGATGGGTGCTGGTCAAGCGACTCCGCGGTGCCTGTGGCGGATTGGACTTGGTGACGCGTTGGTCATCACCCGTAACCAACGGCGATGCCTCCAGTCTCGTAGACCTGGTGGTCATGCTGCCGAAGCGTCGACGTTCCAGAGATCGCGATCGCACTGGTGAGGGTATTCCCCCTGGTGAATGTCTGCCACCAGGCTGCGGGCTTGGCAACGGCGATGCGGGTGGTGTGACGTTAGGCGTCGTTGTTGCTGCCCGTACGGGACCGCCGGGGTTTCTGATGTACGGATGCTCCTCATAGCCGTTGCCGTGACTACCGACGACCGACGGCAGATATGGAGGTATTGACATGGAGAGGTTGCGACCACGTGAGCTTGGCATGGAATTACTCCGCTCCAGCTGCAGTGACGACGGTCTGTCGGGATTCTTATCATCCTCGACGGGGGCCGGCGTTCCGGAACGCGACTGCACGGGACTGTACTGATCAAGACGCGAGTAACGGAGACTGTCCGAGCGCTGCTGCGGGCCGGGAGTTTTCAGCTTGCGCCCGCCCTGTCGCTTGCCGCTGCGGCATTGCCGACACAGTATGCACATACAAACGGCAATGACCGAGAGACACAGTAACGCTAGTATGCAGACAACGATGAGCAGTGCATCGCTGTTGCTGTGAGCAAAGTCACGTATCTGAAGTTGGCACAACACAAGATAGGTACGCGGAAACCGAACAGACAGGAAGAAACTTTACGACAGGTTCAGGCCATCCTGTGGTTTGGTACCGGGTGGTGTGGCGTGGTGCATGCATGTGGTGTGGTGTGGTGTTATGTGTGGTGTGAAGCTGTGTGGCACTGGCATGCATTCCGGTGCTGTGTGGTGTCGCACAGTCCCGTGTTTGCCGCGTGTATGGTGTCGTGCTGTGTGGTGTTGCACAGTCCTGTGTGGTGTCGTGATGTGCCGCAGTGGTGTGCGATGCTGGGTGATGTCGTGTGCATGGTGTCGTGCTGTGTGGTGTAGTTTCATTATTATAGTGCAGTGCTGTGTGGTGTGGTGTCGTTGTTATGGTGTTGTGCTATGTGGTATGGTGTCGTTGTTATGGTGTCCACCAACAACCGGAGCCAGCCATCCCGCAGTAGTCTTCGAGTCAGTCTTCAGAACCACATGCGTCGCGTTCTACCTCGTGGCTAGCGTGAGGGCCTTAATGGCAGAGTCAAGCTCAGCAACATTTACATGGAGCTCGTCCCCTGCAGGCCGAGGCCATGATGCATCTTCCACAACGGTCCCGTCGAGCTCAAGACTGAACGACACCAATAGCTAGGCCAGATGCATCGCACCACGCAGTCCAGGTGGAGTCAGCCTGCGCGTGCACGTCCCACTGACCATGCACCGGATCGTCGGAGGAGAGCCTCGCGAACAGCTCTTGGCAGCATTCAACAAGGGTTTCCGGCAGTGGATCGTCCCATCCAGTGCCACCTGCAGCAGTCGCCAGCCGCTTCAGGTAACTGCAAGCAGGCCTGAGCCACGAACAGACCGGGTAGTGGCCAATAAGGCGTCCACACCACGAGAAGACCTTGCGTCTTGTCATCTTAGGTGGTGGCTCTAGATCGATCTCTCTCCTGGACCAGCCCATGGTGCCATCGGCATTAGCCTTCAGTTGCATACCAAGAACACGGGACTCCTCCATGGGTTCGGCAGGCTTCGTTGGGAGTCCATAGGCTGCAAGCTCGTCGGCAACAGAGTCAATTCTGCTGGAGCTCGGATATCATCGACATAGTTGTTGACTTCTGGGCGATGGCGAGTGATCCACTGGATGACGAGGTGCATAAACTTCGGCGCAATCGCCAACCCGAAGCCCATTCTGGTCATCATGTACACCTTGTTGTTCCAGAGAACGGCCTGGTAGCGCACTAGCTCAGCACTGACATGCACCTGGAGATATGCTTTCTTCACGTCTAGCATCTCCCACTGACCATCACTGCTGCGTCTCCACTGCCTGATCTTCTCGGCGCACACGGGGGCTTCATAGCCAGGCTCAGACTCAATGAGCTCATTAAGCTTACGATAATCCAGGCATGGTCTGATCGGGGTGGATGCTTTATGCTCTTGGGTGCGAGCAATCAACGGAAGCACACCAGCCACTGCTCCATGTGTGGCTTCATCGTGCGGCACAAGCCAACCATTAGCGATCCAAGCGTCGACTTCCTTGCAGAACAACTTCTCCTGCTCTGGGCTCAGTTTCTCCCTGGAGTACTGGCCGATGCCAGAGCCCACTGGAACCTCAGGGGCTGCACCACTTTTCCACTTCCAGCGGAGAATCCAACGCTTGGTTTCATGACACCATTGGACCTCTCCATCACGTGCCGACAATGTGACACCTTGTCCATGACGGCTCACTTGCACGTGGCGGGAAGGGTGACCGTCCTGAGGAAGTGCAGCAGACACAGGACTTGACACTGGCCCAAACCTCACACTCTCCAGCCGGCCATCATTGTCATACTCAAGATGTAGGCCACCACAGCTGCTCTCTACATCACAACCGATCAACAAATCGGCGTGTACGACACTCAGATCGTTGACGACTAATAGCTCCACACTGGCTTCTGGCATCTGCACTGGGATAGGGCCATCCAATCGTCCAATGTTGACGGCTACTTTCCCAAGAACAGCAATAGACTGGCCATCCAGCGCCACAAGTCTGCTTTCACACTCTGACCACGCAAGGCCACAGGACACGGCTTGGTCCTTAGTCAGCAGTGATCGGACAGCACCAGTGTCAATGACTGCTGTCATACGTGACACATCATCCTTGTTGCCCGTTGTCCACATGTCTACCTTGATCCTAGGCAGCTGCCCTGGCGAAGGCACAGACACAGAGGCCAAGGCTGGACTAGGCTCCTCTCCAGCTGCTGCTGCAGCACTCCCGCCTTGCCGGCTCACCAGCCAAGCTTTCCGGTCCGGACAGTCTGGCTTCCTGTGACCAGGCTTGTCACAGAAGTAGCACGTACTGCCACGGCCTCCACCATCCTTGGAGCTGGACCCACTCTGCTGCCCCTGCTTCCTCCTTGGGCAATCTCGCTTCATGTGGCCGACCTCATTGCAGAGGTAGCACAAGAAAGACTTCCTGCTGGTCTTGTCGCCACGTGCTCCACCAGCCAAACTACCAGTTCCAGCACCAGTACCTACTGAAGCTGTCACAGAATCGCCATCACTAAGCTGAACAGCACGGACTAATTCTAAGCAGGCGCTCACAGTCTGGTCCTTTCCCACAAGTGACAACCTAACCTGCTTTGCCCACGCATGTGGAAGCCCGTCAAGAAACTGCTCAACAACGGAGTGATTTTTGTCATCCCCAGGCGACGCATCGCCGGCCAAACTGGCGAGGCGCTGCAAATCGGCAACATAGGCATCTGGTGACTCCTCTTGTCTCATGCGTCGGGCCTTGAACCGCCGGTAGGCTTCCGACTTCGTCATACAAAACGCCTCTTCCATTTTCTTCTGGACGGCGTCAGGCTTCTTCTTGTCATCCGACTTCATTCGGCTGAACACCAGGAACGCATCCTGCTCCAGAAACAAGGGTAACTGGGCCATTTTCTTCTCGTCCGAGTCCCACTTGTTGATTGTCGCCAGCACGTCAAATTTTGCCCAGAACGTCTGGAAATCATCGACCTTTCCCCGGTAGGGTCGCAGGTATCCTTCAGCTTTCGACATCGTACTTAGATCGGAAAATTCAGTTTCCCCACGAGTCCACACGCGACAGTACAATCAACCACGACGCCAACCAGCAACCCAGCTGGTATCCCTGACGTCCTCCCGGGTTTCGGCACCACAAGCTGTACTATAACCGTGTCACTAGGACTACTGCAGACCCACAACCGAACTCATAGTTACGTTTCACACTGATTTAATTCCATGTGGTTATTGTTGGGAGTCTAAGAAAAAGAACTAACTAAAAAGTAAAAACAATGTTGGGAGAGCAAGAACCATCTCGCACCATACCGGACGCATGCGCATGGTGCATCGAACCGGAACTAAAGACTAAAGTACAGAGCACGCGAAGGTGCAGTACATGTATGCGCCTGCAAGCAGCAGTGTCAGGAATGCAGTGAATCGCACACACCGCACGGCAGCCACCGTTAGCACGTCATGCAGTCTATACAACGCAGTGGCTCATGATCATGAAGAGAAAGCGGACACCAGCCACAAGAAGCCTATAGCCTAGATTAGAAGATAAGAAGCACACCGCACATGCAGTGGAACAAGGAGTCACGCACGACTCATCCCTGAACGACAACGCCATGCAAGTACTCATGTATACAGCTAAGAACACAAACAGTGCACACAGCAACGAACAGAAGCAGCTAGTACACGTACTTGTACTAGGAGACATTCACACAACACCATGAATACTAGCTAGTGTCAGTCAGGATGGTGGAGGGGGTCACCATTACACTTCACACCTGATCAGTGCTGGTCGTCTGTATGGTAAGGGGTTCGGAGGTCATGCAGATAGTGTTTTCAATGAAAAGCAGGGTAGAAATCATGGCAATACAGTATTGTATGCTCGAACTCGTCTTCTTCAAAGTTCTTTCTCACACTGACACAGTACATGTAGCAGAAGACGCGAATGAATCAGCCTTCATCAGGTATCCCAGGGTGGACGAGATAGTGGCGGGTAGTCCGCAAAACTCCGTGTACACGTACAAGGTCTCAAGTCTCGCTTGGACTTGTACTGCCACGAGCCTCAGTCACAAAAAAATCGGCTTTTCAGTGACCGGTCGGGACGGAGAGCGCAGGATAAATTTATAGTAAAGAAAAATGGACCAAGAAACTGCAAGTTACGCCTACTTTAATGTCCACTAACACTATCAGTAACGAAATCATGTTATCGCATGAGCTGATTGTTTAGTACCTGGTGGTGTTAGTGGACAGTATAGTAGGCGTAACTTGCAGTTTCGTGGTCCTTTTTCTTTATTATAAATTTTCAGTGACCCCCACTCCCCCCCCCCATTAAATCGTTTTTAGAAACACTAACACGACATTGCTTACATGTGCGCATATGGTCATGAGTGTGCATATCCTACTGCTGTTCATAGCTCTATTCAAAATCTACTGATTGGTGTAAACCGTGTCTACTTGCTTTGCACATACACAAATACGGTATGTTGTATATTCTGCATTACTCCTTTTAGACTAGCTATGGTGCGCAAGCCCTCGATAACGACCGAGACCATAGGTCGGTGTTGCGGGCTTGCCTCACCAGCGCAGGCTTGGTTTGCAGCCTCTTCTCTCCCTGCTGTTTTGTTAGTGCATATTCTGTTGTCTTCTCCCCTTCTGACGAGTAGTTTGTGTACTTCAGGCCTACCGGAACCGGTCCGGTTGGTCAGGTTATTTCCCGCCCAACTTTTCAGTCACCAACACATATTTGCTACTGTCGAGGGCAGGCGTACCTGCCATAGAGACTGTATAGGGCTGAAACGATCATTCAATAACTCCTAACGATCAACCAATATCATTAACGATCGATATATTGATTTTATAGATTCTTGTCGGCTCTACTCGTGTATCTCGCACACCAGTTTATGAAGAAATTCCATAATACCTTTGGTACATTAGAAATTTGTGGCACCGCACTGTTGACATCTCTGGAAATCTGGCTGGTTTTATCAACATGAACTAGAGAATTTCATGTTGCAAAGAATCTTGTCATCACCCTCTGGCATCTAGGCTCCGGCGGATTATGCTCGCGAAATCATGGAATTATGCTTTCATGAATTCTCGCATTACGCTCGTAAAATCCTCATATTATGCTTTGGCACCCGGGGATATACTCACTTTGTTGCACTTATGGAGCCTCAAAGTTCGGGAAATTGTGCCTTTTTGTCGTACTTGCAAGTTGCAAGTGGCCATAAGTACAACAAAAATACCTGGAGTATCCCCATACTAAGGTGTCCATGCACGTTAGAGATCAACATGGAAAAGAGAAACATTACTTCTTCTGAAAATCGGATGTTGAGCCATAAATAAATGTAAAAGAGAAAAGGACATATGGATACGAGTTTAGAGTAACTCTCCATCACTGTAACATGATACTATAATTATACAGTCAGAAAGTGCAATAACTAGGCACAAAACTGACAGAGTACTGAGTCATTCGACGTCCTGACACCTAACTTCAACACATCTCCGTAGCGCTAACCGACAGCCTTCCAACTTGGAAGGCGGGAGGTTGGAAGGTTTGTTCCGTTGGGACTGTAGCTTTTGCTCGTTTTCGTTGCGCTTGCCTTCCCCTCTTTGGTCTTTCCATAACCTTGAACCTTCCAAGTTGGAAGGCTGTCGGTTAGCGCTACGGAGATGTGTTGAAGTTAGGTGTCAGGACGTCGAATGTCTCAGTACTCTGTCAGTTTTGTGCCTAGTTATTGCACTTTCTGACTGTATATAGTATCATGTTACAGTGATGGAGAGTTACTCTTAACTCGTATCCATATGTCCTTTTCTCTTTTACATTACTTCTTCTATTCATTACTTAATTTCTTTTGCACTTCAGTAACAATATTATTTCATTGCCAAATTAGTTTGAGTTACCTTTGAAAATATTCATGTTCAACTGTCTTTGTAATCATCATACTCGTCCAACCGATGTCACCCTCACCCTGCGAATAATCAGCTCATCTCTCCCGAGTCCACTCCTCCTTCCATCATGACCGAGCATCAACTATACATCAATTTAGAGCATTATCCATAGCCTGCAGTCATATCATGGCTGCTAAAATCCGGAGGTCATGACTTCGTAACATGCATAATGTACAAATGTAATTTACATAGTCTAAGTTCGTAGTATAGTATTTATTCATAATTCTCCAGGGCAGTCCCCACAGACCTATGGTCTCCTTACGGGGTACCCTAGCCGATCTAGGATTGCGATACGAAATTGATTTGGTGAAGCAGCAAGGCGGACCGATGCCGGAACTGAGTTCCAGCGGTCAGCGGCTAAATAAGAAAGAGAGGAATAACCAAATCGAGAGGGAGAGAGGTCAGAAAGATGCCTGGTAGAGGGACATACCCAGATCATGGTAGTCTTACTGTATGTATGTATGCACAGCTATACAATACTTACATCCTCCATCTCATGGCTGAAATTCACCAACAAAGTCTTGCAGGCAGAACCCGTCCAGCAGTCTGCAACCAGTCCTCGCGTCTCCTATCAACCCAGTCCCTGCACAGCCATAGTAAACGAGAGTAAATTTGAATTGTTGACTCCGTTCCCATGGAAACTCACATTTACTTGTACGTTATTGGGCCCAGTGCCGTGTGTGAAATTCAAACAAACAAACAACTCACGACGTCCACTAACACCCAGGATAACCTATTGTCAGACTTACATGTAAATAGAAATCAGGTGAAAAGAAAACACAAAACAGTCCACATCTACTAAAGCATAGGAAAGAATGGGTGGTTAAAACACACCTGGCAAGAGGGGGGGGGGGGGGAGTAAATACACTATGTGACGTGTGCGGCTCTCGACTTTGGTAACTTTGATCAGCTCCGAGCCAAGGCGTATGAATACCACGTAGTGTGTGCGGTTGGAATAGTCACCTGGTTGTGTGCTGGATTTCAACAGGGAATGCTTTTCATCCACGAGTGCCTGAACAAACATGCATGCACACACACACACAAGTACACAAGCACACACAGAGACACACACACACACAGGCATGCACGCATACACACAAACACAGACACAGACACACACACACACACACAGACACACACACACACATACATGCACCCATACACGCACACACACACACACACGCACACACACATACACGCACACACACATGTACATAGCAAACACAGCACAGGTGAACTGTTTGTTTTGCTGCTTGTCCAGTTCTTTGTTTGGGAAGTTGTGTGTCTGTGCGTGTTGTGTGTCTGTGTGTGTCTGGGCGTGTTGTGTGTGTGTGTGTGTGTGTGTGTGTGTGTGGTGTGTGTGGTGTGTGTGCGTGTGTATAATTTACATCCACTTGTTTCCATCCGTAATATGTCATGTGAGTAGTAAGCATCACCATAATATGCTTGTACACTAACGGAGCAATGACCGTATTTTCCGGAGCGTACGCCGCACCGTAGGCCTTGACGGATTATGCTAGCATAATGTTTCGCATAATTCCTACCAAAATCGAATAGTCGCATAATTCGAGGCAAATTGCATACGAATCGCATAAAATGGAATAATCCGCCTGTTCGCATCAAATTCCAAACAGTTGTCATGTTCTACAAGTACAAGTACAAGTTGATGGACCAGGAAGTCGTAGGTTTACGACTCCCTTAATAACATGTCCAGTCCACTACAATCAGTGACGGTCGTAGCTAGGTCGGACGGTGCATTGACCCCGTTGAACTTTTGCTTCTACCGTACAGCGCCCTCTACAAAAACATTCCCCTGTTATTTTGCACAGAACCATCATATACATTAGCAGCATATGTGAGCATAATGCGGCATAATATGACATATTATATTACTTTTAGCATAAAAATAGCATAATTCTACAATTTTTCAGCAATGCGAAAAGCATAATTTCACGAAAATATTAGCAAAATCCGTCAAGGCCTACCGCACTGGAGTATAAGCCACACCCCCCCCCCCCACCTCTATTTTTTGCCATGAAATACGCACGACGCAAATGTGACTCACGCAATCGTATTTCACTGAGCAGATTTGTTCATGTAGAGTGTTGCTCAATAGTTCAGGTTTGCCTGCAGTAGACTCGTACGCCCAAGAACGTCCAGGCTGGAAATCTAAGAACGCCCCAGCCTGGATTTAATTAAGAACGAACTCCAAGATTTCGTGATATTTGAGCGCCGGTTTGTTTTGCAAGCGGATTGCACCTTCATGATCTTGTCCGAGTTCACGAAAAACAAGTCCGCAACCACAAACTCTTGTCGGGTCCTCGTGAAAACATCACCCAGTGCAGCGCTACATACTACACGTGCATGTAAAGTGTACAACCGGCACATGTAGCGCAAAGTGCATTGTACATGAGCGTGACGGGTCATGTTGGACGAGTAAGAACGCGAAATAAGAACGTAGCCTGGGGCGCTGAAAAATAAGAACTTTGCTAGGCTGGCCCTCTGCAACCGTGTTCTTGGGCGTACAAGTCCACTGTAGTGTAAATAGCTGGTAGTGGGGGCATCTTCAGGCTTACATACCGTAATGTCACGTGGTAAAGCCGGGCTTATTCCTGTCTGAGAAGCCGATGTCAGGGATAGACTTCTATTCCCACCAGGCTTCTATTCAAACCAGGTATTTCTATGAATGTCAACACTAAAACCAGGCGTATGTGCCGACAGTGCATTCTTGAAAACCAGGCTTGTATTCAAAACAGTCTTCTATACGAGATAGGCTTTAATACAAGACACTAGGGTACCGCGACCTTTGCAAACCTGAGATCGCGTCAATGAGCTACCTACTTATATATGCAGACCTCACTGACTTGTCAGTTTGAGCACTCTGGCAAGGTACGTTCGGGCCTGGTGTAAATCTGGCTTTGGAAAATTTAGTTTTCGTTGCTATCAGGTTCGGCCTCATTTCCTCTGTGCTGCACTGAGGAGTCCACAACGGACGAAACAGTTCTGTCCGTAGATTGAGTACTTATACATGTAAATGTAGGTATGAAGTATGAACATGACGGCGTAATGTTGCTCAGGGCTGCGATAAGTCCAGTTTTGCAAGCCTATTACTAGTACCCCCCCCCCCCCCCCCCGTGAAACGCAGCCGATTGCACATTGCCAGTTTAAGTCGTGAGGCGGGAAATCGTACTCCCACTTTGATATCGGGACGGCCGCGGCCAAATCGGGATGGTTCACGCAGGCATGGACTTACGTTCAGTGTTGCGTCACTGCCACTGCTGTTGATGGCCTGAGCGAGCAGGCCGGCAGCGTACATCAGTACGGTCTCCAGACTGGCTGCAATGTGCTCCAAATGGTTGCTGGGTGCTGTGTGGGTCATAAAGTACTGGACAGGACGAAACGCCGGGTTGACCTGCCGCATGTACGCTTGCTGTTTGGTGTTAGAACTGCCCTGCAAGCACATAAAAAAACTGCTCTCGTCATGTTCATAGTTTTCTCGGAGACAATTAACGTCGATCAAGAAAATAACAAAGTTAACGCACAGTCGACATCCTCAAATGGTGGATCCAGGGGGGGGGGGGGGGGGGTTCTGCGGAAACCCTCCAAACTTGGCAAATGTACTGCTGGAAACCATATGCATGTACATGTGTAATTGTATTATGTATCAGCGATTCAGTTTATTCCGTTTTGGTTAAATTAAACTGGAACCCCCTGTAGAGATCTCTGGATTCGTCCCTGTCCTCAGAGCTCTTCCACCGGTGCTTGCATTGCCTTCCCATCTGTGTGCGATGACGTCACCACTTTCAAGGCCTACATGTATACCCAGCCTATGGCCAGTGCCATGGTGAAGGTTACCATGGATACAACAATGCCGGTTACCATGCCATTAGCAGTGCAGGTTGCCATGGGTACGACAGTGCAGGTTCCCATGTTAGCAACAGTGGATATTCCCATGGATACCAGGGCCGATGGAACCGGTCCGGTTGGTCAGGTTATCACCGGACCAACATTTTAGCCACCAACACAATCATGTTTACTGCTGTGGAGTTCATGTGTACCCGCCATATCATACACAAACTGTATGGCAGGCACTGAAACTACCGGACCAATCAAGAACTGCTTCCGGCGGTCCTGGATACAACAGTGCATATTGCCATGGATACAACAGTGCAGGTTGCCATGGATACAACAGTGCAGGTTGCCATGGATACAACAGTGCAGGTTGCCATGGATACAACAGTGCAGGTTGCCATGGATACAACAGTGCGACATTACATGTACATGTACAGCACTGGTCAATGAAATCCAGTCTTACGCTAGGGGAAGTGGAAAGCACCAGATGCTTAGGAGTCGTTGTTGACAATAAGCTGTCCTTTGACCAACACATTAACAATGTCGTCCGGAAAGCCTCACGGAAGATCGGTGTACTGCGTCGATCTTTCCGCCAGATGAACCTGTTTGCCCGCCGTAATTTCGTTGTCGGTGTTATTCAGCCTGATCTAGAATATGCTCTCCCTGTATACCTTTCGTTTATATCCGTTAAAAATAGAAACAAGCTAGCCTCACTCCACCGGCGCGCTGTACGAGTTGCTTGTGGCGCATCACCCCAAGCTAATATCACGCCACTTCTTCACCACCTCAATGTTTCCTCTTTCCAATATCGATCAGTATTTTTGTTCCTTGTATTCATTTTCCACTGTTACTGTATTAAGCCGGCTGTTTGCTTGCAGTCCCTCTTTCCCATCTGTACGTCTACCCGAACTACTCGCGGCTCTACAACTCATAACATGAGTATCAATCGCTATAGATCTATGTCTGGCTTTCTGTCCTTTTCAAGTAAATCGGCTCTTGTTTGGAATTATTTACCAGACGACCTGAAGTCCTGCACTACTATCGCAGATTTCCGCGTCAAATTGGCTATTTGGCTAAAAGACAGCTTAACTCTTAATCATTGTTGTGATTTGCTTTCAAGCAATGTGCATAATCAGTAACTTGATGTTGCTGTTTTTGTTTTTTTTGGTTTCCCGTTCTCGGGGCCTTCTATTCGGTACTCTTTGTAGTTGTACTTCTGTACTGTTGAGCTATCCGAATTCAAATAAACATTAAAAAAAAAAAAAAAAAAGTCTGAGTCGCATCATGCAAGTTTGCGCCTTGCACCATTTTGCAGCCCAGTTTTCACAGGAGTAGGGCTGTGCATCACCCGGCGCATGGCCGATTCACAATACAACTGTTTAGTGTTTGCGACGTGACATGTGACTTACCTGAATGAAGCGGAAGTTCTTGGCAATGAGCTCCAGCTGGCTGTGGCTTGGTGGCATAGTGAACTGTTCTGCACCGCCGATAGCGTACATCAGGAACGCTGGTCACGGCAGCAAGTGCAGTGGCGATGACGGTGACGGTGGTGTTGAGTTTGCAACGTGTGTATTGCCGTCATCGTCGTTGCTATGCCAACCGTGCTCGAGACCGGACTGGAGACGACGAGCTGCAGCTTGTGAGCAGTAGCACTGCGGTGGAGCCGTGGATAACACCAGCAGCAGCAGCACTAGCAGCATGACCATGATAAGAGATCCTAGGTGCGTGCGTGTCTATGTACATATACTTGCAGACCTGTAGAGTTGACATCTTGGACCATCCATATTATGTACTACATCATGTATATCCATGGCTACATCCATGTGTACATCCATGTGTACTACATCATGTGTGGGTAGCTGACCAAGTGATGATCCTTTCTCACTCGTTCCTGGTGAGCCTTTCTCATTCATTCTTGTTGAACCTCTCTCATTCATTCTTGTTGAGGCTCTTCCACTCCTTCTTGTTGAACCTCTCTCGCTCATTCTTGTTCAACCTCTCTCGCTCATTATTGGTTGTCCGCTTCGTGCCACTATGGTCCCATAGTGATACAGTGTAAGTGGAGTCCTAGTAAAATCCTGGAGACAGTCGGACTGCGAACTTTGCACAGTGCACTGACTGTGGTGTGCTAAGCCTAGAGGTGGCCTCGCTGAGGAAGAAGAAATGAAACGGAGCAGCATTCCCAAGTAAAATTTACTCTATAATTTACTCCAGAGCCCCCAAAACCGAGCCCCTCCGGTGAGCACTCTCTCGCAATCCACCAAAACTACTTGCTCGCTCCGGTTTAGTAACAAATATACGCAACATGCGTCCATTTCTCCAGAAGACCAAAATCATTCGCTAGGTCTGGGTTGCTTGTGTGCACCATTCATTGGCACTGACAGCGTTGATTGGCATGGCACCAGGGAGTCGTACTAAAATAAAAAGCTATGTCGCTCTCCTGGCCTGGGCACCGGCCGCGGGACCGGTGTCCAAGCTGAGTCTAGTGCACAGATCTACACTACAAATCTACTATACTGCATGCAGTCTGTATTATTAATTTTTGTAGATAGATCTGTGCACTCGAGCGCATGCAGTACAGACTACCGGTAAAATTTAATGTATACATGTACAGTCAACTTCGCCAATAACGACATTCGGCGGGGCATCAGAAAAGTGTCCTTATTCGCGAAGTGTCCTTATAACCGAAGTCCCATTTGAATGTATGTGAACCCATATTAAATATTTTTGTATAGTATGATATGCATATCAAAATCAAGCTCTTTTCTTGCTCTATGTCAATGTGTACTTTATTTTCATATTGCAGTTGAAAGGAACTAAAAATTCAATATGCAAGGGAAATCAATTGAAAAATATGCCTTTTTGAGCCATCTACAGGGCCAGAGACATGTACATTGTACATGTATGATGATTACTGTGCAATCATGTACAGCTACATGTACATTGCATACATATAGGTGTGCTGGTAAATCCAACAATTTTGAAGCCAACATAAAAAAGGAAGAAAAAGCCCCCCCCCTAGGCCTTGACGGATTATGCTAGCATAATTTTTCGCATAATTCCTACCAAAATCGAATAATCGCATAATTCGAGGCAAATTGCATACGAATCGCATAAAATTGTAATAATCCGCCTGTTCGCATCAAATTCCATACAGTTGTACAGTCATGTTCTACAAGTACATGTAGATGCACTAGGAAGTTGTAGGTTTACGACCCCCTTGATAACATGCCGTAAGAAGACCATATACATGTAGGTCTGTGGGAAACACCCTAGTAAAATAAAAGTTAATAATAATAATAAATAAATGTCCAGTCCACTACAAAAAAATGTACAATCAGTGATGGTCGTAGCTGGGACTGCTAGGTCGGACGGAGCGTTGACCCCGTTGAACTTTTACTACTACAGTACCCCTACAAAAAATTCGCCTGTTATTTTGCCCAGAACCATTAATGCATTAGCAGCATATGTACATGTACATACATGTATGTGAGCATAATGCGGCATAATAATGATAACTTTTAGCATAAAAATAGCATAATTCTGCAATTTTTTCAGCAATGCGAAAAGCATAATTTCACGAAAATATTAGCATAATCCGTCAAGGCCTACCCCCCCCCCCCCCTTGGCTGCATTTTCTGGCATGTGTGCAATAATATCCATCACCAGTGCAGTGCACCATAGGTTCTGGTACTTCTGCATGACAGGTACATGTACTTGACTGACAGGTACTTGAAATAGCTGTCAAAAGCCCAGAAAGTCGTTATTCAAGCAGTGAATATGACCACGGGGCACTAAAAGCATGTCGCTATACGCGAATTGTCGTTATTCAGATAGTCGTTATATCCGAAGCTAAATGTATACAGTTAGATGGGACTTTGCTCTGGGCATGGAAATTCGGTCGTTATTCGCGAATTGTCGTTATATCCGCAGTCGTTATTAGCGAAGTTGACTGTACTACAGTAAGATCGGGCGCCGAAGAACACCTCGCCGAAGAACACCCAGGCTGGAAAACTTGGCTAGAATACATGTATGGGAGGTGAGTACATGTCATGTACTCACCTCCCATACAGTGTAAACAGTAACCATGGTAACCTGGTAACTGCTACATGGGGATTGTACATATGTACAATAATATTATGTAACAGTCATTCCCATTTACGACACCCACTAGTTTTAGTAGTTACATGACAAACGTCATGACGTCACGACGTCACTCGACTGGCCGCGCGCGTGTGAATAAGAACGGTCTGGCTAGAATCAAAAATTTAAGAACTTTCCTAGGCTGCGCTCGAGCCCCTGCGTTCTTCGGCGCCCGATCTTACTGTACAGACTACATGACTGTATTATTGTTCATGCAAGGGCGTCGGAACCGCACCGGCCGGGGCGGCCATGGCCGCCCCACTTTTTCGGCGGTTTTTTTTTTTTTTTTTTTTTTTTTTTTTTTTTTAGCACACTGCAACAAAGCGCGATGATCTCAGCGCAAACGTGGCAAATCCTTGTCCCCGATCGTGGTTTGTTGCAGAATCAAAAGTCCATGTACACTGAAATGCACCAAATGCCTGGAATGCTTGCAATTGGCTTCAATTTTTGAATTTTTTTCCCCGGGGTGGGTAATGTTTGTCCCCGATCGTAGCATCTTCTTGGTTTTTTGCAGAATCAAAAAGTCTTTCATTGTAGTTACCGTACACTGAAATGGCACCAAATGCCCGGAAATGCTTGCAATTGGCTTTAATTTTTGAAATGTTTTTCCCGGGGGAGGACCCCCGGACCCCCCTTCCATGGCCGCCCCACTTCCAAACTCGTTCCGACGCGCCTGTCATGTATTGATACGTTCAGCTGCATGCATGCAGCTGTCGCGATGCTCGCGCTAGCTCTCCATGTAATCATTATGATCATGGCCCAAGCCAAAAAAATGTTTGTTCAAATGACTTGAAGGTTTGAAAAGATCAGTATCCAGGTATCAATCCATGACACGTTACTAAATCGTGTTTTTTTTTAGAAGATTGGCTACTATTAAACTATTACTTACAAGTAATTAGTTAGTTACATGTACATGCCGATGCGGGTGCTGAGTAAAGCCTAAAGGTTTAGACTAAGAATCTGAGACCTTCCGTAATACCTATCAGTAGAGAGGTTAAGTTTCACGTAAAAGTCTTACGTCCGTGAACTTTTACGTCAAAAAGTGAAAAAACTCACGTAAAATTTGACGTGTTCTACGTGAGTTGACTGTCCCGCACGTAAGTTCATGACGTGAGTTTCTGGAAGTTTCGCTTGGTTATTCCTACCGAATGTGTGTGAGTTTCCGGAATTTTATCGAGTTTTATCGAGTTTGTTGGAAGATTTGATATTTGTGCGAACTAAACCCGAATCCTGCCAGGCAAAATTTCACGTCACGTCGCACGTGTTACTTAACCTCTAAAAATTGCACGTAACGTGAGATTTGCACCGCGTTTTGAAAAAGGGCAAAAAACGTGTAACTTAACCTCTCTAGTACTAGTATCGCTGCACCCGCACACACACGCGGCGAGAGATCTGAATCTGAGAGTCACGTGACAGAGTCTCGATCCCCCTTGCCTCAGTACCACTCCAGTGATAGCAATTACTGTTAAAGGGTGAAGTTAAGGCAAAAATCAAAATTTCACCAGTTGTAGTCTTCGGGGTGCTGGGTCTAATGGTCGTGGTCCGAGAAAGCTGAGACGCTCCCTTCCTACTTGAATCCCAATCGAACTCGCGCACTTCCACCGAAACTGGGTGACTGCGCCCTCCTAGATGGGGATTTGTATGCAAAATGTCACTAAAAGCGCCATTTCGTTCTTATAAAAGCACGGATGACCGCGATTGGCCCATATGTTGTAGTCTTTTGGACGCTGAGTCGACTGGTTTTGGTCCGAAAAGGCTGCGATGCAGCGTTCCTCCTTTATTCCCAATCGAACATGGTTGAACAAGCGGTCACGTGCTCCTGCGTACGCCAGTCACCTGGTCACCGTGCCTGCAGGGTACAACTTACTAGACTGTTTGACCTTTTTTGGGTGCAGTCCTGTCACTCGAGTTGAACTCGAGTTGAACTCGAGTTGAACCTTGGTGTGAAAGTTGTCGCCTGCTGGCGTGGTGACCAGGTGATTTGGGCACCCAGGAGCACGTGACCGCTTGTTCCACCATGTTCGATTGGGAATAAAGGAGGAACGCTGCATCGCAGCCTTTTCGGACCAAAACCAGTCGACTCAGCGTCCAAAAGAGTACAACATAATTATGGGCCAATCGCGGTCTACCGTGCTTTTATCAGAACGAAATGGCGCTTTTAGTGACATTTTGCATACAAATCCCCATCTAGTAGGGCGCAGTCACCCAGTTTCGGTGGCAGTGCGCGAGTTCGATTGGGATTCAAGTAGGAAGGGAGCGTCTCAGCTTTCTCGGACCAAGACCATTCGACTCAGCACCCCGAAGACTACAACTGGTGAAATTTTAATTTTTGCCTTAACTTCCCCTATAATAGCTAGTAGTCGATCTAACGGTTACGTTAGCAGCCTCCATCTTGGACCTTTCGCTAACTAACTGGGGGAATTTGTTCTGAAATTTGTGAACTAACTTAGTGCTGCCAACGCTGATTATTTTGCAATCTCGCACACGCCCAGGCCAGGCGTTGTTCATTGCCTTGCTGGCTGGGTAGGAGGTCCGAGTGAAAGCTCAGGGGCTTTCGCAGCTCCAGTATTAGAAAACAGTTTCGTTTCTTCCTCTCTTGCCTTGCACATAGGCATACCCATCCTTGACTAGTTTGGGTTGCCTCGCAAAGTTAGTTTTAAAGCCAGTAAAATCGGGATAAGGGTCCATGATTGAGTCACCAAGATAAAGGATTCCGTACCCAAAGCTTACAGTTTTCAGTGAAATTCGGCGACAGGTTCGGCGTTGAAAATGTAACTTCGTCGCAATGCACCCGCCGAGTGTGTTATTCTGCGAAAAAATCAAGGTGCGAAACAGCACAGTCGCGAAATGTCATTCGATGAATTGACCACCTCGAAATCATCAAAATTAATGTCTCTCGACTAACTGACCGGATACCCATCGTATGTCGTTGCTGTGCCATCTGCTATGTGCCCTGCACTACTTGATCTACCAGCCTGCTATGTCGGATACCACCAGCCATGCATCGACCAGGCGCCAGGTGCGAATAGATGGTAAGAAGGAGAGCTCTGTGCGGTCAGAATAACTCTGCAGCCTAGGCCAGAGAGCGTACGTGGCCAGGTGTGTATTTACCGCCATATCGCCGGGTGTGTATTTACCACCATTTGGATCAACTACTTCGAAGTAGTTTGCTGACTCATAATTCATACATGAGTTTGTTTGATGATATTACGTGCAATTCATTTTTCAGTACAAGAGAGGCGTTTACACTACACTACACTGAGTATTATTAATTATTATTAAAAGCATGTCCGCGCAGGTGGCGGGGGTGCCACTTTCGCTTATGCCATTCAGGATTGATGTCTGAAGAATAATACGATACAATGAAATGACAGAAGTGGCGTCAACAAAAGCCGTTAGGAACAATACCAATATGACTAATGGAAAACTTCATCCAAAGTATAAAATAAAATAGAATATGCATACTACATGTCTGGTCAGTCCTGTTAGGTGGGGCGGGCTCCACTGCGTCAACATCCAGCGGCTGGTGGAGGGTAAGTCCATGCCATGATAACAGTTCCGTCTGCAAGACCGTTACCAAAGTCGTCCGAGGTCGACCCACTACACTGAGTACTGTTATTTAAATTATACATGAACTAACACGTTCTGTACGGGCTTGGTGTGAGTTGGAGTTAGTTGTCTTATGTCTGCTGGTCTGTCATGACAGGTGCATTCTGACATTCTGCTGGTCAGTCATGACAGGTGCATTCTGACAATGACAAGTGAGACGTCATTGTGAGGTCAGACACTGTCTGCTTCAGGCGTTGGCTGCTTAGAGAATAGTAGATGGGACAGTGAGAAACGCACACGCAAACACACAATGCACTACAGTACACAGTGATGTAGAAGAGTGCAGTTAGAGTAGCAAGGGAAAAATGCTTCTTGGACTCATGTACTCCTACAGTCGAATAGTAGCTGCTGCTGTTGACAGTGTCTGTACAGTGAAGTATACGGGTAGGTAAGAATGCATTATAAAAATATAAATGACTTGTGCAGCACAGTACATGCTATACACGGCACAAGTGCAAGAGCAAATCACTACACACAAACTAATCATACAGTGTGGCTACAGCTACATGTAGCTGATCTCTCTAGCTTGCTCTGCTGGTAACTGTTGTCTGTGCTAGTGTAGCTAGTGTTTGTGTGAGGGCGCTGTGTCTCTGACCCTGCCAGCAACATTAGCAGTCTTCATTACTGCTGAGCTGCTGCAATATGGCCCAGGCAAGTAGTCCAACCGCCAGCTCAGGTCATGGCGAAACTACTAAGAAACCACTACCTGCTACCGTGAAGAAATATCATGACCGTCTGTGTGCTGCCTACAGCAATGTGCAGTTCTGCATAGAGGAGACCAATGAAGAGAAGGAAAGAATCTTGCAACTTGACGAGCTTTATGCTGATCTCCATGTAGTGTCCAAGCAGAAGTTAAATGCCAGGATGCGTGACGCAGAGAGACTTGGCACAACTGCGGGCAATGAGCGGCTGGCTCATTCATTTGCGTCTGAAGCTAGGAAGCTGCGCAAAATGAAACTTGCCGAGATTCTCAATGTCAAGAAAGCCATGCGACAACGCATGCATGGGAAGACTTTCCGTGCCATTGCCCTCTCATCGGCTGGAGCAGGCAAAACCATGCTCTTCACCAAGAAGGGTCCGTTTGAATGGGCAAGAGGGCAGATTTGGCCACACATCGCTGTCCTGCGTGCACTGGAGCTGCGCTTGGAAGAAGTGCGCAATATCAAAAGCATCGCTGAGCTGCTGGATTTGCAGAATTACGGCATCACAACAGAAGGTGAGCAGGTTGAAGTCATTGATTTTGTTTGCAATCATCCGGAATCTGTCTGTATCATTCTCGACGGCCTCGACGAGATAAAGCTCGCCGACTGCAGCAAGTTCATGTACAACGTCATCTGCGGCAAAGAATTACCGGGGATCAACCTGATCATCACGTCACGCCATTCAGCAGAAGCAATGAAGCTGACACAAAACCGGGACATAGTCTTTCATCGTCGTGTGGAGCTGCTAGGCTTTGAGAAGCAGGGTTTGGAGCACTACATACGCAATGTCCTGTCTCCGAAAGATGCACCCAAGTTGCTAGCAGAGCTCCGCACCAACCCGCAGCTGGCCGCAATGATGCGTACTCCGTTTTTTGCCCAAGCAATCTGCAGCCTCTACCGACACAAGCACAGTTTGCCAAACACGCCGGGTACAATCGTCAACTCGCTAATCCTCCATCTACTGAATCAGCACGAAGGAAAGCTGCCCAGCGATGGTGAGCAATACACCGATTGGGACGATGTTCCCGACGACGTCCAGGAAAATCTTCTTGATCTCTCCCGCTTCGCTTTTCACATGCTCATCCGCCGGAACGTTGTCTTCACTGATGCCGACTTCAAAATGTTTTCACTGTCATTGGCAGCTCGCACACTTGGATTGCTCATCGCCTGCGACAAGGCATCACCACGGTCCAAGACTCAGTGGCGTTTCAGCCACCTGGCACTTCAGGAAGCTCTAGCAGCTTGCTACATCGCTAGCCGCTCTCCCATTGCAGCTGACATCGCCTGGCTTGTGCAGCGACTTGGAGCATTCACAGGCAGCCTCAACATGTTTTGGCGTTTACTGGCCACTGAGCTGGACAGTGAGTCCGTCAATGTGTTGATCAAAGCCATTCTCAATCCGCAGTCCACATCGTCTACTCAGCCACAGAATGCCGACGACCACCATTCCACAGGAGCAGAGGGGCACAACGTCACGTGCTTTCTCTTCACCACACACGACCACATCATGGAATGGGCCGACCACGTGTCCTCCTTTCTCTCGCTTGACGAAGCAGAGCATCTTGCAGAAGAATTGCTGGGTGACAGGATCGGTCTCGCATTGTCTGCTCCTGAAGTGGTCCGCCTCGAAATTGACCCCGCCGTCACCAAAATCACCTGCAAGGATTTCGTTCGTTCAATGCTACCCATATGGACAGACCGCGTCCCCAGTGCCAGTACACAGTTGCTACACTATGCCATGGCCCACCAGGCGCAAGGTTCGGCCATTCGATGCTTCACCGTCACTCCCACGTCCAAGCTACCTCCAGTTCCTCCATCCGACGAAGCAGCTCAGCCACCCGCACCTCTGGAGAACGTCAGTGTCGCGGAACGAAGACAACGAATCCTCTACGCCTGCCGGGTCTTCGCGGAGCACGTCAACGCCAGGCAAAGCAGCATCGAAGACATCAAAAGCATGCAAGCTATCTTGACGGAGTACGGAGTAGATTTCTACGGCGTTCCTCTCACACCGTCGGACTGCCAGGCCGCCAACACAGTCATCCGTCACCACCACCAGTTCATCACCATCATCAACCTGGGCAACTGTGGTATAGGTGATACCGGGTACGCATGCATGGCTGATGGCATGGCTCTACTACGCAATCTTACGCTCATCAACCTGGCACTGAACAACCTAACAGATCGTCACACGGCCCATATCGCAGCGTGTATCGCATCCAACACGTCAACACTGCGAGAAGTCTACACATCCCGGAACCTGTTCAGCAGCAATGCTATGGCCACCGTCCACAGCAACACACACCGCTGTACGCGACTGCTGGCAGTGGACTTTGGAGGTCAAAAGTGCACCGATCCAGCAGTCAACCTTGACGTCATCACCACAGTCTGCAGCAACTGCCCAGATCTCCAGTACGTCGGTCTCACTGACTGCGTACTGGATATGGAAGGTCTAACCCAGCTAGCACCATTGTTAGGAGCACTGAGGCTGAGAATGCTGGAGCTGACCAAGGTTGGGATGAAGCAGAACTCGGCTACGATCGTCAGTAGAATCATTCAACAGCAACACGAGAGTTTGGAGCTCCTCTCACTCGTACGCAATGAGCTAATTGGAGATTTCCTGGAAACTGTTCGTGGTGAGCTGAGGCAGTGCCGACGCCTAGAGCAGCTGTACCTGGACGACGACTGCCTCTCGTCGGGAGCTCTGCCGGTGCTTGCGTCCCTGCTGCCCAGCCTGCCAAACCTATCCAAGCTCGAAATGGGGAGGAATGATTTCCGGGACGCTGGCGACGAAGCAAAGCTGTTCGCCGCCGCTGCTGAGAGCTGCTCGTCTCTGAAGGAGCTGGAGATGCCTGGAAGAGCTCTAGTGTCTCCACGACTGCGTGAGGCTCTAAGTGCCATGGTGAGAGATGATCTGAATGTGCAGTATAACCAGTTTCGCTGGCCCGACGAAGTGGAGAATGACGACGAAGAAGAAGACGAGTACGACGCTGAAGGAGATAGCGAGAGTGAGGAATGAGGAGGTGAGAGAATTAGCACAGACGGATTTGTGTCCTTATGAAAAAAGCTTGTGCTGGTCTATCGCTTCCTCCTAGCATACAGTCGGTCTGTGTGTGTTCTTTGGAGTGCACGTGCGTATGTGTGTGCATGCGTGGTAGTGCTTCCGTGGGTGCGTGCTCGTACATGCGTGTCTGTGTGTGTACTTGAACGCATACTGTATTTTTTGTGTGTGTGCACATTTGTGTTTTGGCTGGACGTTCGTTCCTTCGTTTTTAGTCAGTTCCAGGAGTTACTGTGTTGACCTTTGACCTTTGAACTTTAGACCCTGATAATGTATATTTTCGTTTAGTAAATTTGTTGGATAATTGTGAACTATCTTTGAGAGAAATTGTGTTTCTTACTTGGTCATGGTGCCGTGCCTTTACTGGTCGCATGTTTCTTACTTGGTCATGGTGCCGTGCCTTTACTCGTCGCATGTTTCTTTCACAAAGTTTGCATCTAGTGAATAGAATAGTTTTTCTTAGCATTGCAGCTGCATTGTAGCTTTGTCATCTTTCCACTGAACCTCTAACCCGTACGTGGACGTAGAATGTTGTAGTAAATAATGTTTCTAGAAATCGAATACTTTTCCCTCTCTTATGAGATTTCACACTTAACTGGTATTAGAATTCTATGACCAATGTACTTCAAGTATGTTTGTGTGGTGTGTGTTTTGTGAATGTGTGTAGTTATAATGTGAGTGTTTACTAGTTCATCTATGTAAGGCATACATGTACATGTTCGTTTGTGTGCAAAAGGTCTTTTTGTTGATTTTCGATTGATCTTCTTATAGACTGCATTCACTTCATCATGATTGCATCGTACCTGTAAAATGCTTCAACTGTGTAGTACTGCCACTGTGTACTACTCCCAATGTAAATGTACTAATATCTCTTGGTTTTATCTTGCTGCCTGCTTCGTGCAAGACAATTGTATTTTCCACCTTGGCTGCTTTCCCTTAGTTTGTTGTCTGTATCATCATGCTGAGCTCATTCTTGTCACAAACTCCAGTAAGCAACTTGTAAAACCAATTGATCTACGTGCTGCTTGTTGTGTGCCATAAGCATGAATTCATGAATGACTGCCGTAGAATTCCGCGTATAAGCCCATGCTCGCGCATAAACCCAGGCCAAGTTCGAACATCGCGAAGCTTCGTTGTACAAACCTATGGGCCTAGGTCGTACATCCACCATGTACATTTACGACCAAGAGTACATACCCCCTCCCCCCCCCCCCCCCCCCCGGGTTTACTTACTCTTGATACCATTTGTGCGTAGTGCATAGAGGGTTTTTTTGGTACATTTCAACGCAGTCATCGGTTGTTTTTGTTTGCACAGTGATTTTCAGCAATGTACTTCTCACTTCCTTGGTACTTTTCAATAGCGCCACTTTGATGCCGGCGTATAAGGCCATACCCGCGTATAATCCCATGTTCTTGTATAAGCCCACCGAAATGTCCTTGTGAAACAGATAAGCCCATGGGCTTATCCCCGGGATTCTGCGGTATGATTGTTATCAGAAAACACAAGGGAACGAGTTATGAAGCAACTATCCACGAGTCACGACTGTAACAAGATGATAAGCAGTCAGAAAGTGCGATAACAGGGTACAAAACTGACAAGCTACGGAGACATTCAACGACCTGAGACCTAGCTCTAACACATCTCCAGTGTGCAAATCAACGGCCTTCCAACTTGTAGCTAATAGTTGTATGAGTGTAGATCTACTGTGACGCCACGTACATGTAAATAAAACTTGTTTTGTTGAAACATGTTGTTGGGTGACAGTATGTAACAAGGCGGGGGACACCAGGTTCAGAAACAGTGACCTTTCTCAGGGCCCCGTAGGCATTGGCGGATAATGCTCGAAAAGGTGGCAGATTCTGCTCGAAAACCAGTGAAATTGGCAGAACCATACTAACCTTGTGGCGGGCAATTCCTCGAATTCGGCTCCATTTCTTTATCCACATACCAAACATGCATGAAATTTACCAGAAAAAGTACCGAATTCTGCCAATTTTTCTGCCGGCAGAATCTGCAAAGGCCTACTCAGGGGCGTAGTGTAATGGGTAGCCGAGTGGTAGGCGCGGTGAAATCAACAATAATTACTTTTATTCTACTTCTTGCAGGTACACACCTGAGATATAATTATTAGCGAAAGAAGAAGCGGCAAAATAACTGACTTTCTCTCCGGTGCACACCTGGAGGTTGGATAGCTCGTTATTATCAAAATCTCATCTTCGAGTTAGCTTTCGTTGCTATCTAATCTAATCTTCATCAAAACAGAAATGCGCAGCCGCTTTTATGCAGCAGACGACGTACGCTTACATACGGAGATACACTAAATATACATCAGGCAAGCTCCGTATTAGTTCCGTACTGCATCCGTATTGGTCGGGCAGGGATACTACACCCTCCCTTCCTACAGATAATCACGCCCTCGTGATTTTCAAAAAATTAGTGAGGAGTTACGAACAACAGCGTCAACCGGAAGATGGCAAATTATATCGGAAATGATAACGTTTAGAGTAGACAGAAGAAATAAACTGATAACAAATCATAAAATAGAAGTAAAAGCACACCAGGTTCACACGATCTCACGGGGTCAAAAGGGAAAGAACTGTCCTCCAAATAGGACCTGAAACCACAGCACTCTTGCTGCACTACGCTGGCACAACCCGCCAGGAACATCGCAGTTCAAAAACCGAACTGAATACACTATAACTATAAGGGGCGTTGTCACACACATTGTCCCACGTTAGCTGGGTAAGCCGTGGCTCACCATGATCAGACGCCTACCAAACTAAACTGGATTCACACACTCGCATAAAGGAAGACTGAAAAGAACAGGGAGACTGAAGGAAGACAGGAAAGAAAATGCCATACCTGGAATCAGCGTTAGTAACCACGGCGGCGGCTGAAGCTGCGGCGGAGGGCAAGCCAGGTTTTATCTTCATCTTGGTTGAGCCGGTCATTCAGAGCGGCTAGCTCAGCGTCAGACAAATGACCTCCCTCCTCGTCTTGAATCGTGGTCGTCACATTGTCGATAGCATCGCTTGGCGCGACGTAAAGAGTGATGGTCTAGCCAGGAAGAGTGGTGACGAAACTCTGCATTCCACCACGGAGACGAAGTACCAAAGTGAAGAGTGGGCTCCTGCTTCCAACTGCGTGCCGGCGAAAATCAAACGCTGCTGGTCTTGGGGAATACCCTCCCTTGATTCGTCGCAGGGAGCTGCAGCGGGTTGAGCCATGGGGGTCTGGGGTCGAATCACGTTGTTTTATTTAAAACTACACCGCTGCCACCAATGACAATGTAATGGGGGTCTGAGTGGTAGGCGCGGTGAAATCAACAATAATTACTTTTATTCTACTTCTTGCAGGTACACACCTGAGATATAATTATTAGCGAAAGAAGAAGCGGCAAAATAACTGACTTTCTCTCCGGTGCACACCTGGAGGTTGGATAGCTCGTTATTATCAAAATCTCATCTTCGAGTTAGCTTTCGTTGCTATCTAATCTAATCTTCATCAAAACAGAAACGCGCAGCCGCTTTTATGCAGCAGACGACGTACGCTTACATACGGAGATACACTAAATATACATCAGGCAAGCTCCGTATTAGTTCCGTACTGCATCCGTATTGGTCGGGCAGGGATACTACACGTAGCAGCCCGTCCAGCTTTGGCCCGACCACTTATTTTAAGCACAATGCCCGGTAAAAGTGTCCAGAATGCAGGATATTGCACCCCATTTTCAAATTTCCTTTCTCACTCGTTCCTGGTGAGCCTTTCACATTCGTTCTTGTTGAACCTCTCTCATTCATTCTTGTTCAGCCTCTTTCACTCATTCTTGTTGAGCCTCTCTCATTCATTCTTGTTGAGCCTCTCTCACTCGTTCTTGTTGAACCTCTCTCACTCGTTCTTGGTTGTCTGCTTCGTGCCACTATGGTCCCAAACAGTGTAAGTGGAGTCCTAGTACAATCCTGGAGACAGTCGGACTGCGAACTTCGAACAGTACACTGACTGTACAGGCCTCACTGAGGAAGAAGAAATGAAACGGAGCAGCATTTCCAAGTAAAATTTACTCTAAAGTCCCCAAAACCGAGCCTCCCAGGTGAGCACTCTCTCGCCCTACACCAAAACTACTTGCTCGCTTCGTGTTACTGGTTAGTAACAAATACGCCACAGGCATCCATTTGCATGGTTAGAAGACCAAAATCATTCGCTAGGTCTGGGTTGCTCGATCGTGTGCACCATTCCCGGCATTGGCACTGACAGCGTTGATTGGCACCAGGGAGACGTAAAAGTACTAAAACTATTAGAATAGCAATGAAAAGTATGAATGCCGCAGACATCACTACGCAACATGACAATTTGTTCAAGGTTTGGTTTTGTGTGTTTCCAAAATCGATTTTCACGTTCCGATCATCAGTGGAAATACGCAACTAAAGAGATCAAGGGAAAAACAAAGGTTAAAAATCCAAAGAAGTGTGACACATGACGGGTAACTTGTGGTAAGTATTACAAAAAGGCGGATGACGGTGAGACGGCTGGTGGTGATGGTGATAAAACGGACGAGGAGGAGTCAGGTGGCAGGGAAGGTGATGGAGCTGATGAGGGTGAAATTCGTAAGAAGTCAGCTGTGTATTTGCATTTGTTATCTCGTCCCGATTGTTTGAGTGTGTATGATGATTCCCACTTCTCTGTACTGTGTCGTGCCCGTTATGTCCAGCAGTTGAAGGTCCTTGAAGCTGTTTGTATTCGTACGCATAAGCCCGATTTGTGTAAGCAAAAAGAACATGTTTTAGCACTTAGGTTATTTTCGTGAGTTTGCACCCCGTGTTCATGAGTTGTTTCTGCACTGTTCATGCCCGTTTGTCACACTTACTCTTTATTTTAGTTCTCACTTTTTGTAATACTTACCACAAGTTACCCGTCATGTGTCACACTTCTTTGGATTTTTAACCTTTGTTTTTCCCTTGATCTCTTTAGTTGCGTATTTCCACTGATGATCGGAACGTGAAAATCGATTTTGGAAACACACAAAACCAAACCTTGAACAAATTGTCATGTTGCGTGGTGATGTCTGCGGCATTCATACTTTTCATTGCTATTATTAAACTTTTATCTCCACGTAGATTAATGTAAAACTATTAGAGTATAGAGTATAGTATTACGACTCCCTGAGCTGATGATTGGCACTAGTCTCTGCTGAGTGCTGTAGCTCTAGCTCTCCTGGCCTGGCCCTGGGCTCCGCCTCCGGCCGCGGCCCGCGGGACCGGAGTCCAAGCTGAGTGCAGATCTACACTACAAATCTACCATGCATGATCTACCGGTATACAGTCTGTACAGACTGCAGTCCGTCACTGCGTCAGTCGTGCTACTCTGACTCTGAGTCTCTGACTAGATTATAGACTGCATGCCTGGCAGTGGCAGCTAGCTACATGACTGTAGACATTGTAGTTGCGTGGCAACAGCGCTTGTCAACAACGCTTACTACTATCGAAACTCACAGTCACACTCAATTTTAGTTACCAGGTTAGGTTGCTGTTACGTACGTGCAGCTAGCCGCATGCAGCAGCAAAGCGAGCATCGCGACAGCTGGCAGCTGACGCGATGCTCGCGCTAACTCTCGCGATGTCCATGGCATGAGTAATCATCATGATCCTGGCCCAAGTCCAAAAAATGTTTGTTCGAATGACTTGAAGTTGAAGGTTTGAAAAGATCAGTATCCAGGTACTAGGTATCAAACATTGACACGTTACTAAATCGTTTTCTTTTAGAAGATTGGCAACTATTAGTATTACTTACAAGTAATTAGTTAGTTACATGCCGATGCGTGTGCTGAGCAAAGGTTTAGACCAAGATTGGCAAGAATCTGAGACCTTCCGTAATACCTATCGCTGCACCCGCACACACACGCGGCGAGAGATCTGAATCTGAGAGTCACGTCAGAGAGTCTCCATCCCTTCTTGCCTTAGTACTACTCCAGTGTCAGTGATAGCAATTACTGAAATAGCTCATGTCGATATAACGTTAGCAGCCTCGATCTTGGACCTTTCGCTAACTAACTGGAGGAATTTGTTCTGAAATTTGTGAACTAACATTACTTCAAGTGGTGCTGCCAACGCTGATTATTTTGCAATCTCGCACACGCCCAGGCCACGCGTTGTTCATTGCCGTGCCGGCTGGGTAGAAGGGTCCGTGAGCCCAGCGACGTTTGGCCATCCTTGATCAGTGTCACGGTTGTCGTGAAGTCTAGTGCATGTACTGCAATAGACGACGATGAGCAGTATAAACCCAGGCGCAGGCGGCGGTGCCAAGCCCAGACGATCGCTCCCAAACGCTGGTAAGACTCATTAGCCTGCATGCACTGCATGCAGGCTGGAAAGCTGGCCAGTCTCACAACTCGCAGCACGTTACTCTTTAGGGACCATCGCAAAAGTTCGCAGAAGCCCCTGAAACGAAGAGCATACGTTTGGGGGGGAGGGAGTCGGTGCGAAAATCGCAAACCGGGCTTCAATTCAAAAAAGTATTGACGACATAATTATAGGAGCTGTAGGATTAGCATGCCATCACAGCCGGTGTAGATCGCTTGTCAGGATGCGTAGTCCATTCATGCAACTGCGCGTGTCGCGTAGCTGGCTGCCTGTACACTGTGTGTAGTCTAGTACCAAGAGTCCAAACCGCGTGGTTTATGGACTCTTGCTAGTACTAGTACTAGCAGGGGTTCATAGGGTTTATGAACCCCTGCTAGTACTAGTACCGGTAGTATACATGGTATAGTGTAGGGTTACTCGTACGCTTATTATGTGTGAGCATCCAAATGAAAAAATGAAGCCCACATTGTGACTGTCGTTTCGTTTGAGGGGGGAGGGAGGGGGTCAGGCCCGAAACTCACGGTCTTCGTTTCGGGGGCTTCTGCGAACTTTTGCGATGGTCCCTTAGACTTTACTCTTTAGTCTTTAGTGAGACATCCCGGCCCAGTGCAGCTGATTTCGCTGTAATCCAGCGTATACGGTTGTGCATGGTGTGCAGATCAGAGACAGCTGCAGTGCAGAGGCCCAGTCGCTGTCTAAAAAGATTGTCTACCATGTCTACTGAGTGTGTTAGTTGAAGCCACTCTAGACTGTAGGTGACACACACTATTAGTATTACACTACGGTCCTGGCATGCAGTGAATGCTAGTAAGTCACTAAGTGTTGCGATCCAAGTCACCGTATCACATGACCTGGCTGTAGTGTAGAGGAGTGCAAGAGGCTGTCATTCTTTGTGATTTGTAATGGTTGTGGTGGTGGTTTCGTGTGTTCTTATAAATCTCACCCCCCCCCCCCCCCCCCCACACCCTCCCCTCGCGCTTGTGGAGTCATTGTGATAATCTAGTGTGTGTGTGTGTGTATGTGTGTGTGTGTGTGTGTGTGTGTGTGTGTGTGTGTGTGTGTGTGTGTGTGTGTGTGTGTGTGTGTGTGCAGGGGCGTAGCACACGCTACGACTGGTACGACCATGGTCGTACCACTTTTCGAAAAGTGTGGTCCGTCCGGAACGTGCAAAACCGTAATAAAAAAATCAGGATCCATCAATGCATATGCGCATCAGACTTTGACCTTTTTCTAGACTCGTACTCGTAGATCTGCCATGCATCTGCAGCCAGTACTGTACTTGACGCGACTGCACACTGCGCCAGAAGTGTTCCAGAAGTTCCCAAAACGCAGGATTTTGTGTCATTTTTACAAAATTTTCCCAGGTGACCTCCCCCGGACCCTCTCCCCCCTCCAACACGGCCTTCGGCAACACCGACCTTCGGTCGTACCACTTCCGAAACCCCTCCTATGCCCCTGATGTGTGTGTGTGTGTGTGTGTTTTGCACATGTGTGGGCATGTATATGCATGTGTGGATGTGTGTGTGTGCACGTGTGGATGTGTGTGTGTGTGTACGTGTGTGACGGTTTTCCCTCGCCATTCTCAGATGGTGATGTAGATGCAGATGCCACGACAGCAGCAGCAGAACCCGGTCCCAATCAAGAACTTCAAGATCAGTACGTACTGTAGAACCGGGAATTTCCGGTGGCGTAATACTTTCGGTATTTCCCAAAATCAACTGTTCGGTAGCGCGAAATTTCGGTAAACCAGTTTTCCAAATCCAAAATGCATTTTGCACACTGTGTGGCATGTCATTGTTGAATTTTAGGTCACATTTTAAGAAGTAGACAACAATTACCTGTGCCGAGGTTGTTATGATAACATAGGAGGGGAAGGTGAGCGCAACCAAGACCAGCACGAGCTGAAAGTCTCAGCTGTGAAGGACGTTGGCGGATGTACATGCACAATGTACATGTATGTGGATGACAATACAATCATGTAGTGGCAAAACCATTGAACAATAAGGTCAAACCACGATTCAAGGACGCAAAGCAACATTCCACACAACTTGTGTGGCTCAAAGATGCGAAGATCAATTAAAAGGGAAGCTAGGCGAACAAGAATCATGCAAAAGCGAATGCCTCAGTAAAACAGCACTGTACTTCGACTATGACAATTTAGATGGACAATAGGTAGCAGTAACAAGCAGCAGTTTCATATGACGATCGTTTCGCCGTATAGATAAGGACGGCTATATCCTAAATCCAAGAAACTGAGACCCCAAGCATTTGAGGGGGGGGGGGGGGGGGTGTCGACGTACAGCTGGTAAAGTATTTCAATTCCGTACATGTTTTTGGTGTAAATATTATGTGAGTGTGCTGCTGGGGGAGACTCAATCTTTATCTCACGTCTTCTCTTCAGGTGGATTAGTATCTAGGCAAGCATTTCCGTATCTGGGTACTGATCCGTGTCTGTGTGTGTGTGTTTGTGTGTGTGTGTATGTGTGTGTGTGTGTTTGTGTGTGTGTGTATGTGTATGTGTGTGCTCTATGCTGTTGACTTTAGAACTGCCAGAATGCGCATGCAAGTGGAGACGCTGAGGAAGAAATGCGCGGAACTGTATCCGACAACGACATGAAATTTGTCGGGGGTGTTTGCAAGTTGTTTTTCCTTCCATGACAGCAGGGGCGCAGTGTGCCGTGTTAAAATGTGGCTCCCAACTATACAGCTGCATGCTTGGCCTCTGGCCACCGAAACCTCACACTATTTGGCTGAGTTGCTGTTCCCGGGATTGCCGCAAAGCCAGTCGCCATACCCTCATACACCTATACACAAACACATTCACACTGCCGTCTATTGTGGTAAAACCAGATCTTGTCTGGCTGATTGCTGATGGTTAAGCAATCCACCCTACATGGCTGCACCAGCATGTGTGTGTGTGGGGGGGGGGGGGGGGGCTAGCAATCCACCCTACATGGCTGCACCAGTCTGTGTGTGTGTGTGGGGGGGGGGGGGGGAGGGGTTAGCACCCCACTGATGACTTCACCAGTATGTGTTTGGGGGGGGGGGGGGGGGGGGCTAGCAATCTACCCTACATGGCTGCACCAGTCTGTGTGTGTGTGTGGGGGGGGGGGGGGGGGGTTAGCACCCCACTGATGCCTTCACCAGTATGCGTGTGGGTATGACCGCCGGAAACAGTTTTCGATTAATCCGGCCATACCCTAGCCTTTCATACAGTTTGTGTATGATATGGAGGGTAGTCACATGACTTTCATACAGTTTGTGTATGATATGGAGGGTAGTATACACATGACCTCCTCAGCAGTAGCACAATGTCACGTTGGTGGCCCCAAAACGTTGGTGCGGCGGTCATGGCCTGACCAACCGGACCGGTTTCGCCTGGCCTGGTGGGTCAGCACTCCACTGATGATTAGCACCGTTGTGTATGTGTGTGGGCTTGCAACCCGCTGACGGTTAGCACTCCACTGATGGTTAACACTCCACTGATGGTTGGCACTCCACTGATGGTTGGCACTCCACTGATGGTTGGCACTCCACTGATGGTTGGCACCAGTCTGTGTGTGGACTTGCAACCCGCTGACGGTTAGCACTCGACTCGCGTTTAGCCGCACCATTGTGTATGCATGTGGGTGAATACCCCCGCACTGGTGGTTAGCCAGGGTCATGGGACAGGCTACGGTCACTATGGGGTATTGACTGTAGTAGCGTGTCCCACGCCCCAGAGGGCAGGTACCCGTAACACAACCAAAAGCACGGAGTTGGGCTCTAAATTTTGAAATATTTCAAGCAAGCCACCCTCTCCCAACAAGTAAAGTCTACCTCAGATGGCTGATCGTACCGCTCTAAATTACCTCCCCACGCCCCTGTTAGCACCCCACTAATGGCTACACCAGTGCGTGTGTGTGTGTGCGGGGGGGGGGGGGGGGGGGGGTTAGCCATCCACCCCACATGGCTGCACCATTGAGTGTGTGGGTTAGTGCCCCCAGTGATGGATGGCACTCCACTGATGGCGGCACCAGTGTGTTTCTTATAGTGATGTCATGCGTTCCTTGACAA